CTCATTATGTACTGTAAAACTGTCACAGTACTGCTGTGAGATGTTTGGCATGTGAGTGTATTTTGTGTTCCAGAGAAAAATAGTTCCCTTTCAAAACTAAATCAAGTCTTTTAAATGCGCCGTCCCTCTGGGAACAGCTGTTTAGACAAAAACATTTGCGCAAATGAAGGGGAAAGGGGAAAGATCTTAGTCAACTTCTCCATTTCCAGCAAACTTTTCTGCTGGAGTGCGTTAAACATCAGTGACAGCGTGTTCAGTGTTCAGGTGCTGACCGCAGTCATCATGTTGGCAGATGCTGAGTCCAGACGGAAGAGGAAGGTGGCGGAGATCACGCAGGCCCTGAACACGACGCCGGTGGATGTGGCCGCTCTGAGACGCATGGCCATCAGTGAAGGAGGTCTACTGAGCGACGAGATCCGCCAGCAGGTGTGGCCCAGACTGCTCAACGTGTCTGTAGAAAACATACCTGAACGGCTGGGTAAGAAGAACCACATCAAATCACTTGTGGTAGCTGACTTTCTGAGATGCTGAGAACAAAACAAAACATAAAGATAATTTAATGCGATTTCATCCAACTAAAAAAAATGTTTTCATTCTCTCACACTGTAATGTGAAAAATATATTATTATTATTATTGTTGTTATAATTAAATTATTAAAAATATAATCTACATATAATTTATTATATATAATTTAATTCTATTATTATTTATTTACGTTTTAAATATGTATGCAATATTTATACATATAATTTATTAAATGTACTTCAATTATATTAAATATATTTTAAATTTTTAAATATTTATACATATTTTATGGTCAAGATAATCTAGCATAATTCACTCATTCTGTTGACTCACTCATTATATTGAAAATATTTTATTATTATTTAATTATGAAATATAATCTACATGTATTTTATGAAATATCATTTAATTTATATTTTTATGTACATTTTAAAATAATTATACATCTTTTAATGTTGAAGATAATTAAGCAGTTACCGTAACCACAATTCTTATTCTCATCACTGTAATGTGAAAAAATATATTATTATTATTATTATTAAATATAATATACTGTACATATCATAATGTAATTTGCATTCATTATTTACATTTTAAATGATGGCAGGTGTGGCCCAGACTGCTCAACGTGTCTGTAGAAAACATACCTGAACGGCTGGGTAAGAAGAACCACATCAAATCACTTGTGGTAGCTGACTTTCTGAGATGCTGAGAACAAAACAAAACATAAATATAATTTAATGCGATTTCATCCAACTAAAAATTTTTTTTTCGTTCTCTCACACTGTAATGTGAAAAATATATTATTATTATTGTTGTTATAATTAAATTATAAAAAATATAATCTACATATAATTTATTATATATAATTTAATTCTATTATTGTTTATTTACGTTTTAAATATTTATGCAATATTTATACATATAATTTATTAAATGTACTTCAATTTATTAAATATTATTTACATTTTTAAATATTTATACATATTTTATGGTCAAGATAATCTAGCATAATTCACTCATTCTGTTGACTCACTCGTTATATTGAAAATATTTTATTATTATTTAATTATGAAATATCATTTAATTTATATTTTTTATTTACATTTTTAAAATAATTATACATCTTTTAATGTTGAAGATAATTAAGCAGTTACCGTAACCACAATTCTTATTCTCATCACTGTAATGTGAAAAAATATATTATTATTATTATTAAATATAATATACTGTACATATCATAATGTAATTTGCATTCATTATTTACATTTTAAATGATTCGTACATCTTTTAATGTTGAAGATAATTAAGCACAATTACCGTAACCAAAATTCTTATTCTCATCACTGTAATGTGAAAAAATTGATTATTATTATTATTAAATATAATATACATATCATAATGTAATTTGCATTAATTCTTTACATTTTAAAATATTTGTACATCTTTTATTTATGTTCAAGATAATCGTGCAATTACCTTCAACAAAAAAAATCTGTAATGTGAAAAAATATATATTTTATCCATTATTATTATTAATTGTTATTAAATGTACATATAATTTGTTAAGTATAAATTAATTATAATATTTACATTTAAAATATGAATGCACATCTTTTATTTAAACATTTCTTGTATATGCCTTAATTTATGCTGATAAAGGGGGAATAAAGCAACATGCCTGAACAACTAGGTAATGAAATCCATGGAAATGCACTTCATGAAAGCCATGTACTGTAGATGTACATCCAGTGTTTATTTCCAGAGCCGGTCGATCGAGACAATAACAAGGACTTCAACCAAGTGCTTCTAGATGTTCAGAGATCCCTCAGGCGCTTCCCTCCAGGTGAGCAGAACGGACCTCCGCTGCTTCTTCAGGACCCTCAGCTGGTCTCGGTTCATGTCTAAGCTGTTTGTTTGCGGTGTTTAATGAACGCAGGGATGCCAGACGAGCAGCGGGAAGGCCTTCAGGAAGAGCTGATCGATATTATTCTGTGGGTGCTGGTGAAAAACCCACAGCTGCACTATTACCAGGGTTACCATGACATTGTGGTGACCTTCCTGCTGGTGCTGGAGGAACGACTCGCCACTGCCCTGGTGGAGAAACTCTCCACTCACCACCTCAGGTGGGCCAGCAGCAAGAGCCTGTTTGGGACACTTTACCAAAACACAGATGCAGGATGTATTTATTAATTTATTTGTATACATTTTTGCTGATTTTTATTCATTCTGAAATTATGTTCAGGTTAATCAAGCGCTATTCTCGGCAATAAAAATGAGCATTTTAATTTTATTCAGTATTGTTTAAAGGGGTGGTTGATTGCGATTTCACTTTTTTTAATGTTGGTGTGTAATGTTGCTGTTT